TCATGTGCTTCTATACTCTTCAGCAGGATGGGAGGCAACTGCATTCCTACAGGTCGTCTTCCACCAGAATGCTCTGAGAGTCCAGCCATAGAATTACCCTGTTGAGCAACGTTGCATATCATGGATGAGAGAGCATTCTACTTTGGTCTATCAGATATTAATTTTGATAGCAAAGCTAAGTATAATTGATACATTTTTGCTGCAGAGATCAGGCTGGCCATTTAAAAAGTGAGCTTTGGGAAGTAAGTAGCTGAGATCTAACCCTGTGCAGGGGTATTCAAAAGCTCCCTTCACAGAAATCTACAGACTAGAAGACTGTAACTGAAATCTGTTGCTTGAAAAAGAGTTAGCCTGTTTTAACCATCGCCAAAAGTATGCCAGAATATGCCAGAGGCATAAGCAGAGAGTTTGGAGAGGGGCAGATGGTGAAAGCAGCATCATGCTGTTGGACCACAAGCCCTACTCCTTTTGTAAATGCATCGTGATGTCATATACATATATGGAAGTGATGGAGCTTATATCACAACAGCATGATTCTACTTCCATCATTTGACTAAAGCATTTGATCCTACTAATGCATTGGACTGTAGCAGCTTAATTTGACAAGCATTTTTAGCAGCTTTCAAATTCATCCCATCTATAATTTCTTCTACTCATTGCTGATGACCTTCCACCTTTTCCTTCTCTATTATGCATTGTGTAATTTTTAGTACTATTTGTTAATGAAAAAACAATGAAAATAATGGATAATTATATTGGGATGGGGTTTTTTGGTGGACATGTTACCAATTTTTTATGCTTTAATTCTGGATATGTATCTGCTTTCCAACACCATCCATGCAAAATTACATAAGTTTATAACTCAAAATAAAACTGTTTAGATGTTGAAATACAGTTTTTTTCATTAAGTGTATTAAGCATTTTAACTAGTTTGTTGAAGCTCATACTATAGGTAGTGGGAATCTTTTGTTTTACATAATCAGATTAAGTTATCAATCTACAGTACATTATGTTTGCAATATGTTACCTGAAACTATCATCTAATGATTAGACAATGGCTGTGGAGATTTCCTGGGCAATTATCATTGTCCCATTATTCTGAAATTGTTCTCACGTCAAAAATGAAAAGTTATATGCCCCATTAAAAGCATGTTGGAAACTAATTTATGCATTTTGCATCTTAGTAGGGTATCTAGAGCCAGTTTAGGAAGCTAGCATTTAGCAACCAGCACCACATGAAATACATCTATTCCTCATGCTATGCCTTGCATTCTTATATATAATGTCTCTCCACCTCTGTGAAGCACTGCTGTATACGTTTTTTGAATACCCTCTCCTAAAGCAGAGTCTGCAGAAAAATAATGCAGCCATATTACTGTATAATGCTAATCCCAGAGATAATCTGAGGGCATATTGAGCCTAAGAAGACTTTAGTTAAGGGATTTCCAGTAGTATCCTCCATCTCAGGTAGTATAATGGACTATTAGTCTTTTTTAAATAACTGCCTCAGATTGTACGTTTCTTTACAAAGATCCATTAGTTCCTGCTTTGACTGAGATTCCATCTTCTGTTTATTGTCTTGAAAATCCTGTATTTTCTTGTTGCTTCTGGATTGAAAACTAATTCTTCATAATAGCTATTTCCACTTATATCCAATACTCCATCTGATTTATTCTAAATTAAAGCAAATGTTAAAACAAGAGTGGTGAATGTGTTCTTGGACTCCTTAGTCTGGTTATTACATAGCAGTGTACTGTACAAAGAGAAAAGATTGATGATGTGTAGGGCAGTCCTTTGAATAGTTGAAATAGGTTCCATAGAATTGTTGTGTACATAGCTGTATGTGTGTGTATAGAGTCTCCTTCAAGTTGAGTTCAGTTCCTGGTGACTGCATGCCCACATCCATATAGTTTTCTTAGCAAGTGTCCAGAAGTGGTTTGCCACTGTTGTCTTCTGGAACTTTTTTCACTTCCCAGTCTAACCTAAAGCCTTGGTGTTTCTGAGGGGTCTTCCATCCAAGTACAGACAAGGTCGTCCAGATGCTGAGGGATGTGTTTATGAACATGTGTTTAGATCAGTAAGTGATGCTTGCAGTGTTTGTCATTATATAAGTAATTGAAATGCTGGTACTTAAATAAATAGTTGCGATTGATTGATTGATTGATTGATTGATTGATAAGGTCACTTTGCTAGCAAAGATGTGCTGTAATAGGATCTGAAATAGAAAAAGAAAATGCACATCTTAATGATGGAGGTACTAAGGAGGTGGAAGCATCTTTTCTTCCCTCCCTTAATGCCTCCTTAATGCCAAACACATGTGTTCCTGGATCCATGTGGCTACTCTGGAAGGCATTCTTTAGAAGGTCACTGACAGGTGCAGCAAGTGCACCATGCAAGATTCAAAACCCTTTCCTTATTTGAGTCCAAATATGACACACCTTTAATTGTTAGTAAGGTTCCTTGTATCTCTTTTATTTAAATAACAGCAGTTTTGACTAATGTGGAATAATATAAATCAGTGAACACTGCTACTTTTAACGAATGGGAACAGTTCCTTAATAATTCTGATAATCTATCCTTTTGAGGTCCTCTAACTATGTACGTACATACCCATCATGCTGTTTCCTTTCAGGGTATGCAACATTATGCAGAATACAGAAAAGGAGTAAGACATAGTAAGTTGAAGAAATTAAGAGCATGAGATAAGAACAAGAAAAGGAAGTATAAATAAATCTAATTTACAACAACACAATTCACTGTACCTCTCCATGTCCATCAAACCCAACCCATCACTAATTTCCCTTCCTCTGGACCTATTTATTCTTCCTTCACTTAATTACTTTACAGTTGATCCTCATTCATTCTCTTTATATGACCAAACTACCTCAACATACTTCTTTCATACAGGTTAATCGCTTTTGTTTTCAATCCATATTCATTCAGCATCTATTCATGCTTGACCCTATCTTCTCTTGTTCTACTATACATACTTCTTTTATGTTTTTCCTGGCATATCCACCTTTCACTTATATATATTAAAGCACACAACAACTCTCTATTATACAAACACCCATGCTTACTTCTTTTGACATTAATTTCTTGCAACACACAATATGCAATATATTATACAATATACAGTACATAACATATACAACATATACATACTCTCCACTATCTTTTTACTAGTATTTGCATATCTTAAAATTTCTCAATTTTCTTTCCTCAGTGAACATTCTATCAGCAAATTTACATTCATCTACTTGATTTAGTTTTTGTCCTATGGTATATGGCATTATTTGCTTCATGGTGTCACTTGCACACCTATGTTTCTACCTGCAAATGCACATCATTATACAATATTTTTCTCTTCAATTTTTCAGCATTCTGTTATATACATTTTTTTCTCATCCATAACCTCTTACACCAATGTTCTACCAATTATACTTTTTCGTAATTCCCATTAGCTGCACCTCTGTGGCATTCTGTAATCTAATTATTTTCTCCCTGTTCCAAGCATCTTCCACATCTTCTTTCTTTAGGTCCACTTTCCATTAATTCTCTTGAGAGATTAATCTATCTTAGTATATTTTCATTCAGGACTCATTGTCTGTCCTTCCTT